TTTTTTGGGGGGGGGGGGCGGGGAACAGGGCTAAAAAAACCCCCAACTCCTTTTTATGTTCAAGGCATAGATAAACACATAGGACACATACAAATATACAGTGTATCTGCAGTATTACATTTTCACTGCGGAGGGAGGTGTTTAGGGAAAAAAATGTCTAAAGCGTCTCCTTAGGAGAATGTTATGTATGGAATGGTATCCCCCAAAGATACATTGAGGTCTTAACCCCAGAACTGTGATCGTGACCTTATTAGGACCCTTATTAGGGTCTTTGAGATGTCAAGTTAGGATGAGGTCAACAGGGTGGACCCTAACCCTGTATAAGTGGATATAAGAAAAGGCCGTGTGGACACACACAGGTTGGGGCCGGCATGACATGACGGTGAGCCAGGGACCCTGGGAGACGGATGTCTGCCTGCAGCACTGTGGCTCAGTCAGCTTCGGTTATTTCAACGCCCCGGTCTATTCCGGCAACCCTACGGCGCTAACATGGGCTTCATGATGGACAAAGGTGGGGGAGCCCTGGCCTTACCTCTCAGAACCACTCAGGAAAGACGAGGGAAGACACCAAACATGGGAGGCCCCTGGCGCACCAGCCACGGCCGACTCTATCCTGAAAGGTGTATTCTAAGATCCCAAGCCAGGACCCGGAAGAGGGAGGTCCAGCACACGTAGAAAAGTGGCTTCTGGAGCCTCTGACCTCTTTAGTCTGTGTAGGGTGGGGAGGGTGATGGGAACAGGGTGGAGACTCAACCCAGAATGCCACCCCTGCCAGACAGGCAGGCCAGCTGCCCCTGTCCCTCTCGGCAGGGGGAGTTCTGAGCAGGGGGACGCAGTGCTATTTTAAAGGGGGAATATGTTCCATTCCTCCCATTCATTGCTACTGACATTCCAGAGAGAACTGTCTCCAGTGAGTGGAAGGAAAGGAAATAATGGAATTTTTTTTTGGAGTCAGGGTCTCACTCTGTCGCCCAGGCTGGAGTGCAGAGGCACGCTCATGGCCACCGCAGCCTCGACCTGCTGGGCTCAGACGATCCTTCCACTTCAGTCTTCCAAGTAGCTGGAACTACAGGCATATGCCACCATGCCCAGCGAATTTTTTGATTTATTGTGGCACTGAGGTCTTGCCAAGTGGCCCAGGCTGGCAATCCTCTCGCCTCTGCCTCCCAAAGTGCTGGGATGACAGGCGTGAGCCACCACCCCTGGATTGGAATCATTTTCTAATATGTTCTTGTACCTTTACGGGGACATTTTTGGGGTCTGATGCTGAGACTGGAGTCCATGGAATATCTTCAAAGGAATGAGCCCCCCCAGCCCCACAGTTCCTGGGTGAGCACAGAAGTGTGTTGGGTGCACATACGTGCCTGGCTCCTCTGTCCCCAACACCCGCATGGGGCCTGAGCCACAGGGGCGTCCTGAGGACTAGTTTGGAATCGCTGGTGGAGGGGTCAGAGACCTGCAGAACTCTCTGAAGCCACGTAGGCCCTCAGAGCTCCCCTCCGCAGATGGCCGAGGGCATCTCGGGCCCCTTTCTCCCAGGAATTTCAGTAACGAATCCGGCCCAGGGAAGGAATTCGCAGCACAGACACAGGGCATCTCCTACCTTCATGGCCAAGGCCAGCAGGGCGCCCTCGGTGGCCTGTCCCATCATGGTGTTGTTCCTGATGACAGCGTTGTTGGCCACACAGCCCGCCTGAAAGGGGGAATGCCAGGGTCTACAGTTAGTGTGAACTTGAGAGAGACCCTGCGCCAGCCTCGACCCGCTGGGCTCCGGCGATCCTTCCGCCTCAGCCTTCCAAGCAGCTGGAGCTACAGGCGCGCGCTACCACGCCCGGCTGATTTTTGATTTATTGTGGAGATGAGGTCTCGCCAAGTTGCCCAGGCGGGTCTCGAACCCGCAGGCTCAGGCAATCCGCTCACCTCAGCCTCCCAAAGCGCGGGATTACAGGCTGAGCCACCGAGCCCGGCTCAGACACGCTCTTTAAAGTAACCCGCCTGGCTCTTTGGACGAAACACAGCGCCTGTTTCTTGACTGTGCTGTATGTCGGTTGTCACAAAGTTCTGCTAAAGAATCCAGTGGGAAGGCAGTGGACGGGTAGTTACGAGGGTGGGGGGACTGGGAGTGACCACTGATGGAACTTGTCTCCATCTGGGGTGACGGAGTGTTCTAGAATTAGATAGTGGTGATGGCTGCACAACTCTGTGAATATACTAAAGCCACTGATTGTATATATATATTTTTTAATTTAAAAAATTACCTTTGAGTCAGGTTCTCACTCTGTCACTCAGGCTGGAGTGCAGTGGCACAGTCATGGCTCACTGCAGCCTCGACCTCCTGGGCTCAGGCGATCCTCCCGCCTCAGCCTCCCGAGTAGCTGGACTATAGGTATGTGCCACCATGGCTGGCTAATTTTTTATTTCTTTTGTAGAGATGAGGTCTTGCTATGTTGCCCAGGCTAGACTGAAACGTCTCGGCTCAAGCAATCCTCCTGCCTCAGCCTCCCAAAGTGTTGGAATGACAGGCGTGAGCCACCATGCCTGGCCTTATTTTTACTTTTTAGAGTCTTGCTCTGTGGCCCAGGCCGAGTGCGGTGGTGCAATCATGGCTCACTGCAGCCTCGACCTCCTGGGCTCAAGGGGCCCTCCCGCCTCAGCCTCCTGAGTCCCTGGGACTACAGGTCCACACCACGCCAGGCTCATTTTGAATTGTCTACTTTAATTGTGTGAATTCTACGGCCTGTGACTTATTTCTCAACTGAAAAAATAAACACTTGGAACATAATACAGAGAGAGAGAGACAAGCCCAGGCGTGAGTGTCCCCTGCCCCTCGCCTCCAGGCTGGTGGGCTGGGCACTCGTGCTGCCTCTCTGAGCTCTTGCTTTCCTCTTCTTGATGCCCAAGAGTCACAGTGTCCGTGACCGGCCACGGAGGCGGGGCCGTGCCCAGAAAGAGCAGCACCTGCCCCGTAGGGAGAGAGCGCCTCATGAAGGCATGAACGCAGCTGACGTGTGGAGGGCCGCCTCTCAGGGTGGGCACCATTGGCCACGCGCTTCTTTTTTATTCTGAGTCAGGGTCTCTCTCTGTCGCCCAGACTGGAGTACAGTGGCGTCATCACAGCTCACTCTTGGGCTTGACCTCTTGGGCTCCAGCAGTCCGCCCTCCTCAGACTCCTGAGTCGTTGGGACGACAGGCATGCGCCACCACACCTGGCTCGTGGTTTGACCTTTTTCGTAGAGATGGAGTCTCGCTGTGTTGCTCAGGCCGGTCTCTGGCCATCCTCCCGCCTTGGCTTCCCAAAGTGCTGGGATGAAGGCGTGAGCCACCGCGCCTACCCTTCCCAGCGTCTCCTCGGCACCTCCTTCGACCCTCCCAGCAGGCAGGGTGAGTATGGCAGGCTCCAGCTCTCCTCTCACCGCTGCGGTTTGGGGTCATTCTTCCACTGCTGTGACAGCCTTACCCCTGGGTGGCTCTGTGGGTGCCAGGAAGTACTTGGCCCACTTGCTGTTCCCCCTGTTGGAGAGGACTCCCGACGCCCCATTGAAGACGCCTGCTTCTACCAGGGCACATTTCACACTCACCTCCACTAACTTTCCCACCGAGACGTTGGAAAATTCCTTAATTACTTCCTTGGACGGCAAGAGACATACGGTCCCTTTGCCGTTGTACCCAACTCCGCTGACCTGCAGGACAAGGCAGAAGAAAGAACTCCACCAAGAGTCAAAAACACGCTCCCCTGTGGGCCCCGACCTCTCTCCTGGGGACCCACCTCGAGGACACAGCCCACATGCAGAGAGGGTTTTAAGTATGAAGATGCTTCCTGCAGGGCTCTGCATGAATCAGGACACCCCGCTGATGACCATGGGGCTGCACATTAGTAAAGTGCAGTATGTTTTCTCGATGGGACATTCTGCAGCCAGGATGGGGTGATGGTTAAGAAAACTGAGTCCTAGCAGAGAAGAGTGAGTATGTTCTAGCATGGGGGTGGGCAAACGTCTTCTCATAGAGTCAGCTGGCAAATACAAAAGCCTGGAAGCCCAGACAAGCTCTGTCACTGCTGCACAATTCCGCCATTGCGCATGTGCGACAGTGGCCATTAGTCACATACCCATACATGGGTGTGGCAGTGTGCTGATAAAACTTTATTCTTGGCCAGGCTCGGTGGCTCAGCCTGTAATCCCAGCATTTTGGGAGGCCAAGGCGAATGGATTGTCTGAGCCCGTGGGCTCAAGACCAGCCCGGGCAACTTGATGGGACCGCGTCTCTGCAAGAAACCAAAAATCAGTCAGGCGTGGTAGCACGCACCTGTAGTTCCAGCCACTTGGAAGGTTGAGGCGGAAGGATCGCCGGAGCCCAGCAGGTCGACGCTGGGGTGGCCGTGAGCGTGCCACTGCACTCCAGCCTGGGTGATGGACTGAGACTACAACTCCAAAACCAAAAACAAAAAAACCTTTTTTCTCAAAAACAAGCCCTGGTCCAGGGCAATAATTTGCTGACCCCTTACTCTGGGAGAAGTTGTGAAAAAAATATCAGGATACGAAATTGCACATTCAGAGAGTTTCCAACTGCTGAGTGCACAGGAGAGAGGCTGAAAAATGCCAAGGATTCATGGTGGTGAGTTTAGCATGGAAAAGGATACTTTTTCTTTTCTTTGAGTCAGGGTCTCACTCTGTTGCCCAGGCTGGAGGGCAGTGGCATGATTACGGTTCACCGCAGCTTTGGCCTCCTGGGCTCAAGTGATCCTCCCATCTCAGCCTCCCGAGTAGCTGGGACGACAGACATGTGCCACCATGCCTGACTAATTTTTAAATTTTTTTTGGGATACAAGGTCTCACTATATTGCCCAGACCGGTCTCAAGCTCCTGGGCTCAAGCAATCCTCTTGCCTCGGCCTCCCAAAGAGCTGGGATTACAGGCATGAGCCACTGTGCATGTAATCCCAGCACTGTGCAGGTTTTCTAGCTTTTAAATTCTATAATGTATTTGTTACAAGTAATAAAAAAATAAAGAAGGCTGCCTGAGCCAGTCCTGGTCCTTGCTGCTGTTTGTGGCAAGGAGATTGTACACTAGCCCTAGTCTATGTCTTCCTTGTTGTGTTCTAGAAGATGCCATGTGCTTTCTCTAGAAAGTAGAGGGTCTGGCTGGGCACATCTTTTTTTGGGACTTCCTACTGGGACTCACCTCGGCACGAAGCCCATCTGAGGTGACCAGCTGGGTCACCGTCATCTCATTGGCGGTCAGGGTTCCTGTCTTATCAGAGCACAGGACATTGCAGCAACCTGGCACAAGAAAAGATCTGTTCACAGAAAAGGAGCCAGCACCCTCCGGCTTATGAAGGGGAGTCGCCCCGATCCCCAAGCCTCCACGCCACCCGCTTTGTGGGAGTCCACCGCCTGGAGTCCCTCACCCAGAGTCTCCACGATCGGCAGCTTCTTCACAATGACTCTCTTCTTGGCCATCCGCAGCACGCCCAGGACCAGCGTGACCATGACGACGATGGGCAGCCCCTCCGGAATGGCCGCCACGGCCAGGCTGGATCGATAGGTCAGATGGTCAACGGTGCAATCACAGCTCACCACAGCCTCAACTGCCTGGGCTCAGGCGATCCTCCCTTCCCAGCCTCCCAAGTAGCTGGGACTACAGGCACACGCCACCACACCCGGTTCATTTAAAGAAGTTTTTTGTGACAAGGTCTTGCTATGTTGCCCAGGCTGAGCTCAAACTCCTGGGCTGGAGCGATCCTCCTGCCTCGGCCTCCCAAAGGGCTGGGATGACAGGCGTGAGCCACTGCGCCCGGCAGGGCCCCTTTAACGTGCACTTAAGGATGTGAATTCCCATCAGGGTTGGCGATGCTTTGGCTCGCGAAGATTGCCTCTGGTGTCCCCAGTGTCCCAGAGTTCTGTTCCCCGTTCCCAAGCCCATGGTGTATCCGTCTCCTCCCTCAGTATCCATTGCCCTGAGCACTTCCCTGCCAGCCCTGCTCTTTGGGAAGGGACCGGTCTGTCAGTCATCCACACCTCAGTGTGAATTAGCGCGTCAGTTGTGCTTTTTAAGCACTTTGCATTTAAATCATTCTCATTTATTGAAAAGAAAAGTCTTTGGGTCCCATGAAAGGGATTTCAGGAGTCAGACAACGGGTAGAATTTTGGGCTTTATAGGGCTCCTCCCTGGGTCTCCTGAATGTTACTTTTCATTAGTTTAGACAAGTCCTGAGAGGAAGCCAAAGAAATGAAAGTCCATGGAGGTCAAAGGCCACAGCTGTGCCTGGGTCTCCTGAAGGGTGTTCCGGGGGGTCTGCTGCTGCTTTTTCGTTACCCCTCCAACTCTCTCGGGACCTGGGGACCCCACCCTCCCATGGCCAGTGCTGCTTGGATTAGAGGAGGGCACGTGACCCTGGCTGAGCCAATGAGCTTCTCTCTTGGTACCGAGCTTGGGACTGAGGCCAGGGTGTCCTGTGGGGATGCCAACAGGTGCGGGGTGGGGTGGGGGTGTCACAAGGGGGCTCATCTGCCCCCTTTGGCCGAGGTTCCACAGCATCGAGCCGCTGGCCCCCACGCCCTGCTTCTGAGCTGGTAAAATGATAGGAAGCCTGGCACCTGCTTTGAAACAGTCCGGGGGTGGGTGGCATGGATTGGGCCAGGCTGGCTGAGAGTAGATGGCTGCTGGCGACTGTTGGCTACACAGGGGTCACTTCGCCAACCCCCCACTTACAAAGGCTTGGAAAATGTAAAACCAGATATGAGAAGGGTCCCTCAGTGGAGAGATGGACACACCCAGTGTGGTCTGTCTTCCAAGGGAATATTATTCAGCCATGAGAAGGTGGCACAGACACGCGTGGCAAGGCGGGTGAGCCTGGAAACACGACGCTGCGTGAAGGAAGCGGACTCGAAGGCCACGTACTGTGTGAACTCATTCACGCAGCACGTCCGGCGCAGGGAAGTCCGTGGAGACAAGAAGCAGATGAGTGCTCGCTTGGGGCAGGGGTGGGTGGACAGAACGAGAGTGAGAGTTGACGGGCGTGGGCTTTCTTTTTGTTGATTTTCTCTCTCTTCCTCTCCCCTTGCCCACCTCTCTCTCTCAATACATATATCCATATATATATATATTATATGTATATATTGTCCTGGCTGGTCTTGAACTCCTGGGCTCAAGTGATCCTCCCATCTTGGCCTCCCAAAAGTGTTGGGACGACAGGCATGAGCCACTGTTTCGGCCACAGGGTTTCCTTCTTTCCTTTCCTCCCTCCCTTCCTGGATTTTGCCCAGGTTGGAGTGCAGTGGCATACTCATGGCTACTGTAGACGTGACCTTTTGAGCTCAGGGAATCCTTCCACCTCAGCCTTCCAAGTAGCTGAGACTACAGGCGGGCACCACCGGCCCAGCTACTTTTTTGATTTATTGTAGAAACAAGGTCTTGCCAAGTTGTCCAGGCTGGTCTCGAACCCCTGGGCTCAGGCAATCCTCTCGCCTCCGCCTCCCCAAGTGCTGGGATTTCAGGCGTGAGCCACCGCACCCAGCCCTTTCCGAGGTGATAAGAAAATGTTCTAAAAGGGGTTGTAGTGATGGTTGCATATATCTGTGCATGTACTAAAAGCCATTCCATGGTATCCTTTAAAAAACGTTAAAAAAAAGTTTTTATAGAGATGGGATCTTGCTATGTTCTCAGGTTGATCTCGAACTCGTGGCCTCAAGTGGTCCTTCTGCCTTGGCCTCCCAAAGTGCTGGGATTATAGGCGTGAGCCACCATGCCTGGCCTAGATGGTATACTTTAATGGGCGGATGATGTGGAATGTGAATTATGTCTCATCCAAGCTGTTTAAGAACGAAGAAAAGAAGCCTTGGCTGCAACTTGGAGGTAGGGCAGGTGGGGTTAAGGCTGACCAGATCCCTGTTCCCAAGTCTTTGCCTGAGGCTTTGCTGAGGGGCAGGGATACTTAAAAGTCACTTAAAACCGGCTCGGGGCGGGCTCGGTGGCTCAGCCTGTAATCCCACGCCTTTGGGAGGCTGAGGTGAGTGGATTTGCCTGAGACCGCCAGTTCGAGACCCGCCTGGGCAACTTGGCGAGACCTCATCTCTACAATAAATCAAAAAATTAGCCGGGCGTGGTAGTGTGCGCCTGTAGTTCCAGCTACTTGGAAGGATGGCCGGAGCCCAGCAGGTGGAGGCTGCGGTGGCCGGGAGCGGCCACTGCACTCCGGTCGGGGCGACAGAGTGAGACTCCAACTCAAAAAAAAAAAAGTCACTTAAAAGAAGCTTCCAGTGCTCTCGCCAAAGGGATCCCTCTATCATTTCTAGAGAGAAACTGTTGTGGGGGATTGGGAGGTTTGGGGGATTCCTGTCACCTGAGAACAACCAGAAAAACCACAGCAGGCGAAGGTCAATGTCTCCCCTCCCCATCTCCACCCTTGGAAGCCCCGCAAGACACACGGGACCCAGGTCGCAAGTGAAATGGGCCCGACCCAGTGACCGAGTAACGCTGAGGGGTGGCAACCCCATGGCCCAGGCCCTACCCTCAGCAAAGAGCCGCTCCCCTGCAGCCACCTGGACCATCGCAGCACCCAGTGTCCCCAGACTTTCCGTGCTTCCCCAGAGAAACTGGGAACCTAGTATCTTTTTCAGGCAAAGTCCCGATGTAAACATTAAAAATTTTTTCACGCGTGGAGATGGGGTCTCAAACTGCTGGCCTCAAGTGATCCTCCCAGCTCGGTTTCCCAAAGTACTGGGATGACGGGCATGAGCTCAAAGCCTCAATTTTTAGACATTGGCAACAAATTCCAATTTCAAAATCGATACCGTTCGAGCGCAACATTTTCTGGCTCCATCTCACACAGGCACGGCCTGTCTTCCACCCTCTGCATAAGGACACCCTGCAAAGGACTGCAGATATCCTGTACGCATCTGCCGGGTGAACGGTGGTGAGTTTCCGCCTGGCTGGGTCAATAGTCAGAAAACCCAGTGAGGATCTCCTTCAACCTGAATCCCACGGGGCTACCATGCTTCATCAAAGCCAAGACACCACTGATTGTGGAGAGCACCATTACCTAGGGCAGCACGGGGAAAGAAACAGACACTGCCAGTCGGTCGGTAACACCCTGCCTCTCTAGCGATCGCGTACCGGAAGCAGCCTGATCTCAGAGGAGTTAAAATGTGAAGAAGAGCCTGCATCTTAGAATCAAAGAAATATGGCATATGAAGGGTGAGCCTTCACCCCGAGACGACGGAACGTCACCCAAGCTTATATAAACCAAGATCAGGGAATTTGGTCTGGGGGCTATGCCTGGTTTCCGTGGGGACAGCCAGAAAGCTCCCTTGGGTTTATGGCCCAGGATGACAAGACCAGCTAAGCAAACATTTGTGGAGGGTTACAGTGGGGACATTCCCCTAATGACCCAGGAAGGGCGTTTGTGTATGCACCTCGATATGTGTGGCGTGATAAAAAAAATGAATCCGCAAACTAATAAAGATTAGAATGGACCAGGAAAAGCAAACGCTCCGGGTCGCCTTGAATGTCATTCAAGGCGCGGGGGATTAGGCTCAAGTCTTTAAAAGAACAATTCTTTCATTTTATTTATTTTGGAAAATCTCCTTGCTGGCTGCTCTGCTGGTTCTACCTTCTGACTCAGGGGTTTTGGGTGACTTTAATCTGCTGCTAAAAACTGAAAAACCTCATGCTTGCAAAATCACAAGTGAAAGACGTACACTGTCCCTCAAGGGCAAGTCCACCCCGTCTCAAGTGGGATGAACAGGCTGACAAGGAATCAGAAATGACCAAATAGGCCAGGTGCAGTGGCTCACGCCTGTCATCCCAACACTTTGGGAAGCCGAGGCGGGAGGATTGCTTGAGCCCAGGTGTTCGAGACCAGCCTGGGCCACAGAGCGAGACCTCATCTCTACAAAATAAAAAAATAAAAAAAATTAACTGGGCATGGAGGATTGCCTAGCCCAGGAAGCCAAGGTTGCGGTGAGCTGTGCGTGTGCCACTGCACTCCAGCCTGGGCAACAGAGACCCCGACTCAAAAAAAAAAAGCAGAATCTCAGGCCACGCCCAGCCCCCTGAGTTGGGAAAGTGGCAGTGTGTGTTTTAACAAGCTCTCTTAGGGACCCTCACGTGCTTACACTCTGTGAGTTCGGCTGTCGAGGAGACCACGATGGGCCAGGTGCAGTCCAGAGGTCACTCTGTCACCTGGGACACCACCATCCACAGCTCAGCTCAGCTTCCTGCTCCCTCCGGCCGCTCTCCCAGGGCTCCCCCCTCCCACCTCCTTCAGTCACTGTATCTGGTGGCCAATACTTTCCATCTGTCTTTTCCCTAAGAGTCACCGACCCAGCGTGGCATGGTGTTTTGAGGAGTGGAGAGAAGGGGACCGCAAGCTCGCCCGTCATCTGTCTGTCGCCGACCGCATCGCCTGGTCCTGCCTGCAGGCCTCCCTTGGTGTTCCCCAGCCGCGCCAAGGGCGCTCCCACCCCCAGGCCTCTGCCCTGCTGTTCCCCTGCCTGGAACGCCCTTCCAGCACCTCCCGCAGCTGACCCTCA